GGATTTCAACCATAGCAGCTCACAAGTGGTAGAGGCCATGGAGCGATATTCTGCCTTTGCGGAAGAGCGAGAAACTGTAGATTGCTTCTTAGTCTTCCAGGAGATGGGCGATGAACCGAGTTGAATGATCCAACCCGTGAGAGAACGACGTGTAAGAGGACAACCTGCCCAATCAGAGTCACACCAAGTAGTAAGACGTAAATCAAAATCAGCGCGAAAGAAAATGCCTTGACCAGGACTGTTCTTTAAATAGCACACAACCCGAAGAGCTGCATCCCAGTGAGCCTGGAGAGGATTATGCATAAACTGAGACAAAACATGGACAGAATAAGACAAGTCGGGTCGGGTGACAGCAAGATAAATAAGTCTTCCAACCAAACGCCTATATTTCTGTGGATCGGGGAATGGAGGACCAGTGACAAGCGGAAGCTGATGATTTTGTTCAAGGGGAAATGAGGTCGGCTTAGCCCCGAGAAAGCCAACCTCTGACAATATGTCAAGTGCATACTTCCGTTGGCACAAAAAAATGCCAGATGAATTGCGAGCTACTTCCAGACCCATAAAATATTTCAAAAAACCAAGATCCTTCATATGAAAGCAACGACTTAAATAAGCCTTAAAGGAAGAAACAGTGCCACTGTTATTGCCGGAGATGATCAAATCATCGACGTACACGAGAACGTGCAGCTGAACACCATCACGACACAAGGTAAAAAGCGAATAATCGGCATAAGATTGACGAAACCCATATTGCCGAAGTGCCGTAGTGAGTTTCGCAAACCAGCATCGGGGAGCCTGCTTAAGACCATATAGAGACCGTTTTAAACGACAAACAAGATCAGACGATTGAGATCGGAAACCAGGAGGTAATTTCATATACACCTCTTCATCAAGATCACCGTGCAGAAATGCATTGTGAACATCCATCTGATGTAATTCCCACTGTCGGGCAACAGCAACAGCGAGAAAGTTCGGACAGTCACCATTTTTGCGACCGGAGCAAAGGTCTCAGTATAGTCCAC